GCGGGAAGCCTGCTTCTCCCTCTCCCACTCCCCCTGCTTGTGTTCCCTCTCTCGCTGTATCTCTCTCTGTCAAATAAACAAAATCTTTAAAAAAAAAAAAAAAAAAAGAAGATGTGGTGTAGATATCCAAATATATATCTTGATATAGGTGAAGATACAGAGATACACACCGAGTAAGAGAGAGAGAGAGGAACAGAGTTCTATATCCTGGGAGTTTTTATGTGTGGGTTAGTTTTAACCAATGTGGCATTTCTGAATTAAAAGAGAGAAACATTTACAATTTCAGTTGAAATTTGTGGTCATTGCCTGTGTTCTCAGTCAACAGATCCCGGAAGTACAGTTTGGGGGGTCATAACTTGTTTTGACTTTGCACGGGGGTTTTCACACTGACCCGGACAAGGCCAGGACCCACTGGGGTAGACCAATAAGAGAGGGCTTTCCAGGCAGAGGAACTGCCCCTGATCTGCCTCTTCTCTCAGGGAAGGCAAGAAAGAAAGAACTGAAGCTACTTTGTAGAACTCACTTATTTTCTCCTTTGTTTCCTAACGTATACTTTTGACCTGATTTGGAAGCAGTCCATCTGTTCCATGCATAGAGCATGGGGCCTAGTGGTCAGGAGATCTTTCCATCATCATAGGACCTGAAGCATCAGACTCCTAAGGGCCCAAGTCGACCACCTGGGTCACATTTCTTGTGTTGCAGAGGGGGAAACCAAGGGTCACCACGAAGTCCCAAAGCAGCCTCAAGCTCCCAGACCAGTACCCAGGGACATTTGTTTAGTACCCACTGGGAGCGGGGCACAGAGTCAGGCCCTGGATTTGCATCTACTAGTATGCCTGGGGACAAGTCCATTTACCTTCTTTGGGACTCAGTTTCTTTGCTGGGTACCCCAGGGCTGCCAAGAGGATCCCCAGAGATCACAGAAAGAGTTAAGTGTGTGTGGAGGAGGTGGGGGCTGATTCGCCGAGGGCCTTGTGGGGCTCTGCCCGTGTGAACACCGTTCCTCCCTTTGCTCCCCAGCTGGTGTTCCCTCTCGAATGGTTTCCACTCAACAAGCCCAGCGTGGGGGACTACTTCCACATGGCCTACAACGTCATCACGCCCTTCCTCCTGCTCAAGGTACAGTCCCGGGCTCCCTGCTCCACCTTCCCACCCTCATCCCCTCCTCCTCAGGCAAGAAGCTGGTGCCGAGCCCTGGGAGTCATGGAAGCAGGTGGAAGCAGGCCTACCCTGCCTCAGCCTGGGGGGCGAAGGCTGTGATGGAGGGACACATCAAAGGCCTGGCCAGGAGGGATGGAGAAGCCCTCCCCAAGGAGGGGTGTCTGATTTGGGCGTCAGCCTCGTGTGCCAGGGGATGATGTGGGAGAGGTGGTCAAGCAAAAGGACCTGAAGACAGGCTCATGCTTGTGAAACTACAGTACATTTGGGGAGGCTGAGGCATAAGGAGTGAGTGGGTTGGTTGTCTGGGGAGAAGTCAGGGACCAGTTGGGAAGGCAGTTAGGGTCGAGGTGGCCGCAACAGAGGTGACCTCTACTCTGGCCTAGGACTCCGGGATTTGGAGATGTCATAGAGCTAGCCAGGGCTGCCGGCTTTGCACGTCCAAATAAGGGCTCTTAAAACAACTATCGCCATCTACCATCCCCATCATTTTGTTTCTAGAAAGACGTTTCTAATCACCAAAAGTAGCAGGGTATAAAATTAGAATTCAGAGGAGTCCTAAGTTAAATAGTGGTTTCCAAAGCATCCTCCCCACCCCCACCCCCCCACTTCCCTGACATTTTCTTCGTGATTACCATGCACCAGTGGCTCAGAAATCGGAGGGTCCCGCCTCCACTGAGCCAGCCCAGCCACCCAGAGGCACAGCTGGGGATAGGGAGAGGGCCAGGCCTGGAGCCTGCATGCGACCTTGGGCAATCAGCTAGTCCCTCTGAGTCTGCTTCTTCTCTGAGGAAAGGGGGTGCTGTTTCCCAGTTCCTGCTGGCTTCACAGGGATCCTATGAGACTCTGGAGGCTGGCTTAGCCTGCTAAAGGGTCCCAATTTCCGAGTGACTTTCCAGCCAGTGGCATCCATCCGATGCCAGGCAGCGGGGGAGAGACCAGGGGGTGTCTCCTGTTGTGGAGGACGCTGAGTCATGCGTCCGGCGTCCCTCTGACCCCAGCTCATCGAGCGATCCCCTCGAACCCTGCCGCGCTCCATGATCTACATCAGCATCATCACCTTCGTCATGGGCGCCAGCATCCACCTGGTGGGCGACTCCGTGAACCACCGCTTGCTCTTCAGTGGCTACCAGCACCACCTGTCTGTCCGGGAGAATCCCATCATCAAGAATCTCAAGCCAGAGACGCTGGTGAGGCCGCCTCCCCCACTGCATGTAAAGCCTTTGGGCACAGTCTGTCCTGGAGGCCAAAGAGATCACCCCGACCCGTCACTGTGCTTGACCTGCTAAAGGCATTCCGCTAGGTGAGGGCACTGGACCCGCCGAGCTAGGATGCACTTTAGGAAGTGGCACTTTGACTGGGTGCTCCCACCCGGGCCCCCTGCAGTAGAGGGCAAGACCGAGGGCGGGGAATGAGGGCTGCTGGGGGGAAACCCGGGCCTGGGGAAGGGTGGGCTGCGTGGGCCCCAGCAGCCCGCCCCCCGCCGCCATGCACCTGCCGCTCTCACCTGCCATGCCCCTGTCCTCAGATCGACTCCTTCGAGCTGCTCTACTACTACGACGAGTACCTGGGCCACTCCATGTGGTGAGTGTTGGGACCAGTCTCAGCCAGGGAGGCAGCGCCAGCCGGGCTGCCTCCCCAGGGACCCGGGGCCCGGCCTCGCGGACACTGGACGAGCCTCTGGGTGTGGGGTGCGGGGCCCTCCGGGTCTCAGCGCGGCGGTGCCCGCGGCGGCCACTGGAGGGCAGCGAGCGGCTGTCCCTCCCCGGCCCTGCCGGAGCCTGGGGGGAGGGCTCAAGGCCCGCCCTCTGGCCGCGGTGGGGTGAGCGTGGGCGCCGAGCGGGGACCCCGCCGTGTTGGGACGCGGTCTTTGGGAGTGGAGGTCGGGACGAAGCCGAGGAGGGCCAGCTGGCCCCGAGGGGGGAGGAGCTGTCTGTCCCGCTCCTCGAACTCCGGGGAGGGCCCCCCTTCACCCCAAAGGCGGCGGAAACCTCCCAGCTGTGCACAGCCGCGGGAGAGCCGGGGCCCCAGCTGCCGGCAGCTGTCTGTTCCGCCCCCCACCTCACAGGAGGAGCTGGGGCCAGTGAGAGGGTTTGCTGGGGGGGGCGGGGGGGGGGAAGCCAGCAAGCCCTGCACCCCGTGGCCTCAGCCCTGAGTGAGCTGGCCGGCTCCTGGCACACCGGGCCTACACTCGTGTTTCCAGGATCCATTTAGAACAGGCAGAGTTGGTCCTCTTGGCTGTGAGTCCAGGGGCCCTGGACAGGCCTTTGCCAGAGACCTTCCCCCAGGGAAGTTTGGGAAGGGAGGAGGCGGGGGGGCCGCGTGAGGGGGAGACAGGGTAGCTGAGAGAAGGGGCTGTGGGAGAGGCAGCCTGTGTGGAGAGGAGAGAGGCTGGTACTTTTGGGTGGGATGCTGTGTGTGGGGAAGGGGTGAGGCTGTGGGTTAGGTATGGGGGGGGCTTCACAAAGCCCCTTGGAGGACCCCAGCAGGTATGGTTTCCTCTTTCTCACTCTCTCTTTTTTTTTTCACCTGGACCTGGAGGCTCTCCCCCCTTGGCCCTGCTGGGTACACCTGTTCGGGGGGGGGGTGGGGGACTGCTGGTGTGAGGGGTGCCAGGGTGAGACAGGCTCCCCCTACACACACCCCCGCGGAGTGAGGTGGCCAGGGCCGCGTGGGAGGGTCCCCCCACTGCGGCCTATGGGCCTCTGATTTGCCTGTGCCAGGAGCAGGCCTCCTCTTCCTGCTTCCTTCCTGCCCCACCCTGGACCCCCCGCACGGGGAGGTCTGGCAGGGAGGAGTGCCCTGGCCTAAACCGGGTGTTCTGTAAACCAGAAAGCGACCTGCATGGGATGGTGCAAGGGAGCAGCCCCAGGAGGGGGAGGGCCGGGTGGAGGGGCGATCGGCTGGGCAGGCCTCTGAGGCCCTGGCCTCCCTGTTGCAGGTACGTCCCCTTCTTCCTCATCCTCTTCATATACTTCAGCGGTTGTTTCACTCCCGCCAAAGCTGAGAGTTCGATGCCAGGGGCGGCCCTGCTCCTGGTGATGCCCAGTGGCCTGTACTATTGGTGAGTGACCTCAGACCTGGGGGAGGGGTGGGTGGGGACACTTAGTGAGCCAGGCGGTAAAAATGTGCTCTTGACCACAGTCCCGCTCCGGGCTCCTGCTTCCTCCTCTGTCTAGTGGGGACGGTGACAGTGCTTTGTGGTAGCTTCTCTGTTACCAGGAAGCCAGGCCTGAGTGCCCCTCTCCATTCTCATGCTCCTCTGCCCTCCCTCCCGGAACCCCAGTGCCATAGAATCCACCTGTAATATTGAGCCCATAGAGCCCTGTAGGCCTCAGTTTCCTCCTTTGGGAAATTGGGACAGCCCCTGCTTGTCTCCCTCTCAGGAGATAGTGAGGATCTAGAAGGAGGCAAAGAGGCTTCATAAACTATAAAGCACTATGAAGGTGACAAGGACAGATAAGGGGGAAGTTCCTTGCCTGGTTTCTTTGTGCCTTCCAGAGCTCTCCTCCCATTTCAGAGGACTCAGGCCTCAGCCAGGCCCCTACCTCTGTTCTGTCACTTCTGCCCCGGGGACAGGCTCCCCCTGAGCATTGGTGGGTGTCATAGGAAGGACTGGACCCCTCTCTGATGGAAAGCTTGCCTCAGATTGAAAAGGGCCTTCTTTCCTAGGGCCAGGTCCCTAGGATCCACCCCTGGGTCCATCCCCGGCCAGGTGGAGAGGGTCGACCAGGGCCAATCTGTATGCCCCCTGAAGGCAGGATGAAAAAGAATGAGTGGCAACCACAGCAAGAAGGAAAGTGGTTTGACACGCAGAGGGCTTCTTGCCTGGCTCTCCCCGCCCCAGCGTGTCAGTGCAGAGACGGCCACAGTAGGAACAGTGACCATTTTTGTTGAGCAACATGCTTTTCCAAGTAAGAGGTGTACACAGCTCTTGTCAGTCTCTTACGTCTCGAGACATAGGGCCACTTATGCCCCCTTTCTAAGTAAGAACACAGAAGCTCCAGGATGTCAAGGTTCCACAGCCACTGAGTTGCAGAGCTGTCATTCCTTGAGTGGAATGGGTCAGCATCGTGTTTCTCTCTAGAGGCAGGGGAGTGGACCAGACAACGTCTCAGAAGCTCTCCAACAAATGCTACCGATTCCTGGCCATGTGCTAGGTACTGTCTTAGAAGCTGCAGAGAACCCTGGGAGATCTGAGCCTGTCCCAGCCCTCAAGGAGACAGTAATGACAACCCTATGAATTGCAGCTGCATTCCCAAACTCAAATGCCTATAGGAACCAAGCTGGTAACAGAAGGGCATCAAGTAGGCCTCAAGTAAGGCAATAGGGAATGGTGGGGACTGTGGCAAACAGCAGAACCATGCTCTTTCTAGAGGGACAGCCATTTTCTCCTCTAATCAGTTTCGTGCGGGTCTAGGGGCCTGACATGACCAAAGAAACCAGAAATCCGCATGTTCTGCTAATCTGTTAAATGTTGATAACAAACTCAACATTTTTAAAAAATAGCAACTCTACAAGCCAAATCAATATGCTGCCTGTGGGCCGTGGCTCAGAGTAGGACGGTTCCCTGCTCCTCCATGAGATGAGCTGCTCTGACTGACCCGGAGGCAGCCTGGTGTGGGGGTACAGGGAGGGATGCCGGGCAGGATAGAGCCTCTGACTCACCTCCCCCACTGGCCTCTTCAGGTACCTGGTCACCGAGGGCCAGATCTTCATCCTCTTCATCTTCACCTTCTTTGCCATGCTGGCCCTTGTCCTGCACCAGAAGCGCAAGCGCCTCTTCCTGGACAGCAACGGCCTCTTCCTCTTCTACTCCTTCGCCCTCACCCTCCTGCTTGTGGCACTGTGGGTCGCCTGGCTGTGGAATGACACGGTACTCAGGAAGAAGTACCCGGGTGTCATCTACGTCCCTGAGCCCTGGGCCTTCTACACCCTGCACGTCAGCAGCCGACGCTGAGTCCCTGGCACCAGCCGCCGGTGCTCTGCCTGGCGGGAGACGGGCCGCAGAGTGGCTGAGCGGGGATGTGCGTGCATGCGTGTGTGCAGACGCGTGTATCCACCCATGTGTGCGCTCTCCTAACAGCAGCCGGCCGGATGCGCATTGTGCACATGGACAGGGGTGTGTGTACACGCGTGCGTGTGCAGAGAGCGTCGTCGTAAGACGCGATTGTTTGGCCCAAGTTTCTCTTCGGTTTGGATCTTTCCAGGATGGGATATAGTTGGAGGCCGTGTGTCCAGGCCGAGGTGTGGGCCTGCCTTCTCGTGCACCTGACTGGAGTGGGGCCCTCTCACTCACCGCTCAGGGCGGGTCTCTTCCTGCGCTGGCTTCTGGTAGGCCTCGCGGGTGGGGCAGCAGTGGTGAGGGGACTGGGCATATCACCCGCCACCTGGCTCACCCCTCAGGCCTGCCCTGACCCTGGAGGCCAGATTACAAAGGTTAAGTTAACTCTCTGGGTATTGGTGAGCAAAGCACATCCCTCCTCTGGGCCTCATTTGCACCAGCTGGGAGCAGGGCCCAAAGTGTGTCAGTGGGCTGGTTGTTGGGGCAGCCCTGGGATGGACAGATCGTTCTCTCGTCGCTGCCCTCTGCTACCCCGGGAAGGGTGTGCGCGCCGCAGATCCTCACCCAAACTCAGGTCACACGGAGTGTTGTGCCGCCCGACTCCCCTGAGCACCATTTCCCTCTGCCAGAAGCTGTCTCCGTGCTCCCCGCCCCCCATAACTGTGGCACCCCTTCCTGGCAGCCTGACCAGCATGTCTGAGCTGCAGCTGAAGGCTGTGTTCTCAAACACTTGCAGTATTCCCTGAGCCCCATTATAGGGCCAGGGGGCATTTGGGGGATGTTGGGAGTGGGGCGGATCTGGAGGCTCTCCCCTGTAGGCCTCGTCTCAGCCTGAATCTCATGGCTTCTGCTCGTGGCCCTGCTCCCAGAAAAGGGAGGCTTCATTCCCATAGGACACCCCGGGCCCGCCTTCCCCCAGGCCTTGGGGACACATCTGCCCACCCAGCTGCCGGCACCAGTCTCATTTCCCAGCCAGCACTGGCTCGGCGAGCTTGTGGGTCTCAGGGGGCCTGCCCTGCCTTCCCCGGGCCCTGCCTCCTCTCCTGTGTTTTCAGGGAGCCCCGTGCCTCAGATGCTCCTTTCATGTTGGGGTCCCTCTGCAGCCCCCTTAGAGGGCCCCCAGCCCCGGTTCCATGGGCGGAGAGAGGTGTGAATAAAGACCAGTGTGGAGCCCAGCCTGGCTGGTGGCTGCTTCTTGCTCTGGGTGTGAATTTGGGCGGCAGGAGGGAGATCCCTGGGGCCGGGGAGACAGTGGCTGGTCTGAGGCCGGTCAGGGGCTGCGAGCGGGCCCTGCTACTGTCCGTTGGCCTTCTGTGCCACCCCGTGGGATGCTGGGGGTGGGGGGCAAGAAGGGCCTCCTCCCAGTCAGTCCCAGCTCTCTTGGGGGGCGGGGAGCCAGGATAGGGCATCTCCAGGCCTGCCTCTCCGAGATGGCCCCTCAAGCCTCCCCGCTCTGCTGCAAGCCCACTCCAGAGGCTGAAACAGAGAAGGTGCCCTTTGGGGGAAGGTGGGGAGGCTGGTTTGTTGGAGGTTGGCACCGAGCCTTGGGCAAGTCGCTTACTCCCTCGGGGTCTCAGACTCACCACACAGCCCCCAGGACTTACTGGGGCTCCTGTTAGCAGACAACACTGGACAGGAGATGCTCGACGTCGCATCGTCGTAGGATGTGCCCCCACCTGCCCAGCAACCTCACTGGATTCCTGTCTCTGGCCTCTTCTCCACAGCAAGACTTGCTGGGTGTCTTATGAGCAGGCACAGGCCTGGTCGTTTGGGGCCTGGAGCTTATACAGCTTGGGGGGGTCCTTGATAAGAAAACAAAAAAAAAGTGAATAAAAAATTAGGTATGAGGGGCTCCTGGGTGGCTCAGTCAGTTAAGTGACTTTTGATTTTGGCTCAGGGCACCATCTCAGGGTCATGAAATCAAGCCCCGCATTGGGCTCTGCACTTAGCTGAGAGTCTGCTTCAGATTCTCTCTGGCCTGGCCCCTGAAGGCCTCCCCACAAGCCTCAGCTCTGTGTCCCCCCCACCCCCCCACCCCTGGCCTCTAAGGCCCCACATGACTTCGCCTCACTTCTCTCCACAAGGCTATTAGCAGAAGCTCCCTCCTCTCCTGCCTCCTGCATCCTGCCCATCTTTCCTCTTCTCAGCCCCAACAGAGAGGAGTCAAATCCTCCAGCTGAAATTCTCTGGGTCTAGAAACAGATGTGAAGAGGAGACTCAGGAGACATCATCTGGGGGAAAAGAGAATCTTCCATGTGGACACGGTCAGGAAGGAGGGAGGGAGAGCAGACCAAGGGCAGGCCCTCTGTCCACGCCATACACATTAGCAAGAGGTCCCCCTTCCTGCAGGCACGTGCAGCCCCTCACCAGGACCCATGCGTCCCCTGGGCTGGGGGCCCTTGTGCCGAGCACGGCCTGTTGGGCCCTCCATGCCAGTCCTAACAAGGCGGGGGGTGCCCTGGAGTTGGAGCCCCACAGACTGGGAGCCAGCAGCTGGGGAGGAGAGGAAGGGTGAGACCCAGCTGTGCCCAGCGCAGTGTCCCTAGGGAACCACCCCACTTCTGGGGCGAGGAGATGGGGACAGGCTGATGGGGGGCTGGGGGGAGTTCTGGGGGGCAGAAGAGGGAAATGAAGAAGAGGAGCCTTCCTGGCTGGGTAAAGTCACCTAAGAGGCCTCCCTGTGAGCACCCCCCCCCGGGGTAGCTGGCGGTGGGGCCTGAGACCCCACTGCAGGCACCACCCCACCCCTGCCCTCAGGGTCCCCAGAAGGAAGGAAGTGGAGAACCGATCGTGCTCTGGCCCTTTGATTCTCTCGACAGCCCTGTGATGAGGCCCGGCGCAGAAACTGAGGCACAGCGCAGTGAAATGACATGCCAAGGTCACTCAGCAAATGGACCTGAGGGAAGGATTTGAATCCAGCCCAAGAGCAAGGAGCTTGGGCTCCCTCTCCAGGGTGCATCCCAAGGCCTTGGCAGTGGGGGCGTCCCATCATGGCAGGGTCTCCTTCCCGCCCAGAGGATGCTGTGTGATGGGTCTTCTTTAAGAGTGCAAAGCACCCGACACCTAGGAGTTGTCCGCCCCCAGCCTAGTCCCAGGGGAGAGAAAGGAAAGATCCCCGAGGCACCCCCTTTCTGTGTATCACCGCCCCCGCCCCCGTCCACGGAGGGCCCCCCCGGGAAGGAATGGTGGCATGTGTCCATTTGCCAGAGAGCACCAGCTTCCCGATGCAGGACGAGTCGTGGGGAGCCCTTGTGCAGCCCCATTTACTCACAGGGAAACGTGTCGCCCTGCCCGGCGGGGGGCCGGGGCATCAGCTGTGCACGGGAAGCTGGAATCTGACCCCGGGGCGGGCGCTGGGCCTGGTCGCCATGGCAGCCGCGGATTTATTACTGGGGCCTCCACCCAGCTTGGCGGACTTTCGACTTTCGACTTGAAGCCGGGAGGAAGGGGACTGAGTGGGCAGTTGTGGGAGCCTCGAGCCCACAGGCGACAGCCTGAGGCCCCAGAATGGTGAGTAGGGGGCTGTGTCCTCGAGCCTGGCTGCCCCAGGCTGGGGGTGCGGGAGGCGCTTTCACGGAGTCCCCTCCCTGACTGTTTTCCTCTCTCTGCTACAGGCCAAGTTTCTTTCCCAGGACCAAATTAATGGTAGGTTGGCTTTGCTCTTTAATTAGCAACTCGCAGCAAAATATGGGTCTCATTAGGCAATTTGCTCTGCTCTTTTTTTTTTTTGTCGGTGGGAAGGAAGATGGCTGGTGGGAGAGCCGGGCCCACCCACAGGCAGGGGGCCACCTGCTGCAGGGGGACACCACTGGGGGGGTGGGTAGTGACCACCACCACTAGCTGCGGCGGGGGGCAGCGTGGAGGGGGGCTCAGAGGTGGAAGTGTGGTGTTACATTTGTCAGTGGGACTTAGCAGTGGGGGAGATAGGAGAGGGCGCCCGCTAGGTGCTTCTCCAGGCCCGATAGCTGGATTCGGGAGGAGGGATGGGAGATTGGGGGTGCCACCAGTAACTGGCTGTGGCTCGTGGTGGAACAAAAGAAGGGGCTGAGAGGGAAAAGAGCCCTGGTCTGCACTCTGGGGCAGGCGCTTCTACTCTCTGGGCCTCAGTCTCCCCATCTGTGAAATGGGGGTGGCCTGAGGTGGCCTCTGCGGTCTCCGGTGCCCTGACATCAAGCCGTGTTTGGAGCATTTACTCCCCGAGGCCCCTAGCCAGCCCGCCGCCTAGTGTAGCACAGCACGGAGTTGTTTCCAGAAGGCCAGGAGGGGAGAGTTGGGTTACACAGAACCCAGGGGCCTGGCAGAGCCCAGCTAGGGTCCCACAGACGCTGGAGGTGTGCTTAGGGTTACTTGGGCAGGGATGCCAGAGTTCTGGGTCCTCGGAGCTTGGTCTAAAGCGGGTGGGGGGCGGGGGTTGCAGGCTCCAGGTGGGCACCTTGTCTTAGATGGCTCAACATCCTCACCCCAAGAAGAGGGCCAGAGCAGGGACTGTGAAAACCTAAGGCCCAGGGCAAGGGCCTCTCCTGCCCAGGTCTGAAGGGCAGACTGAGTGGTGACTCAAGGCTGGAGTCCAGCCATCAGCCTTAGGAACCCCCCTCCACCAACCCACACCTAGTTCTGAGGCTCAGTGACCCTCCCTTCCTGGGATCTCCCAGAAGGGAAGGAGGGAAGCTTCCCTTTGTATTCCCGTATCTGACATCAAGAAAGTGGCCACTAATGTTTCGTGAATGAGAGGTTGCCCAGAGGTAGGCCACTAGAGTGGGAAGGGCAGGGCTCTCGGACGCAGCAGACCGGAGGTCCAGTCACCTCTGAGCCTCAGCTTTCTCCTCTGTGAAGGAGGGAGAAGGACACGGCTTCACCAGGCCGCTGTGAGCGAGGGGCGGAGAGGGTGTCAGTCAAACACATGACCCTGGGCCTAGCTCAGGCCGGCTGTCCCCCAGACTCGCTCTAGCTAGCATGAGCTGGGTGGTACAATTTTAGGAATATTTTGAGCTGTTAAAATCAGCCATTATTAAATAACGCAGCATCAAACCATGTTTCAATCCCTGCCTCTATACAGTGGACGTTTTAAAATAACCCCACTGCAATCAGCAGTGCTGAAGATTTGAAAGAGGTTTCAGTTTAATGAATGTAATTTGTACAAGGGTGGGAAAGTGTAACAGTAGCTCACTTAACAGAGTTAATGACAATACATTCATGGGGAAAGAGCTGCATTCATCGGCATGCGGCCTCCCTTGGCAAACCATGGAAGCTATAGGTTGGCAACGGACACGAGAGTTGGCAAAACTCACTTGTGATAATCAGCTGGCTAGAAAGGAACTTATAAAGAATAGTGCACATTTTATCATTATTTATAAATGGTGTGCTACACATCCTTTATGTCTGTAAAAGTTATAATAAACTTGTGTCCATATATCATCAGAGCGGGTTATTAGACACGCACGCGCACAGAGCCGTGATGCTGTAGGCCCTGGGGAAGATTCTCTCCTGCCCCGGGGCATTTGCATTCTCAAAGGGAAGACCTGAGGGGGATTTTTAACCAATTTATTCTTTCCTTCACCAAATACGAGTCCTTTCTTTGTGCCAGGCCAGTTCTAGGCACTAAGATACGGCAGCGAACGCAACGGACAAAATCCGTTCGCTCACTCACACTTGAGGGAGGGTGGGGGGCAACAAAAGCAGTAATATATATAGGCTGTTAAATGGCCTGCCCGTCTGAAGAAAAGGCTGGAAAGGGGAGCAGAGGGGTGTGGGGGTCATGGTAGCTGGAGAGGGGCTGCGAGGAGAACAGCCTGCTGTCCTGTTCCAGGACAGGAGTCCCCATTCAGATCTGGCCTTCCAGGTCTTTCGATGGTATATTTGTCAAGGTGGGAAGATAGAACGTATTATCTAACAGTTTGTTAGGAGATGGGACTCCATTTGCCCCCGGCCCTGATGATGTCAGGGGCATCGTCCCAGGTACTGATCCACGTGGGAGAGGAAGTTTGCCCGTCCGTAAGGCCTGGCCAATTCCAGGCAAGGGTGTGATGCCTGCCCTCCAGCACGGGGGCGAGGCAGGGACAAGTGTCATAGGTTGAGGTCTCAGGGGGCAAACTCTGACAGAAGACAAGGTGGGTGGCCATGAGAGGTCCCCAGGAAGGGCGCTGGGGGAGTTGCAAGCCCTACATGTGGGGTGGCT